CTCTGGAGGCACGGTTTCAAACTTTGTAACGAATCCAAAGAAAAGGGCTGTCGGCATCGTTTCCTAGTCTGTTTTGTCTTCATTCTAAACCCTAAAACCTAAACCCTAAACTCTAAACCCTGCTCGAACCTGATGTTCGGGTGTAGACTGACGCAGAGACATTTGGATAGCGACACCATGGCTAGCTCATAGCTCTTTCCAATCCAACCCCGGAGACCGAAGGCCTCAACCCGAAACCCTAATTGAGCTTTGCAGACTTAGGATGGTTTAGGGCTCAAGGGTTTTAGGTTTTCGCATTTCTATTTGAGATACCATGGCAGTACTCCACTTCCTTTCGCCTTCTGGAAACGCAAACAGCAAGACTTGTTCATGCTTGCCCTAAACTTCTTGCCCCAGGATGATCGACAAAGAGCAGATTCGATGCTACAGCTTCTTCGGCTTTCCTTTACGTGTTCAAAGCTAGATCTCACCTCTACGATGTGCTCTGTGGGCCAATATAAGCTATGGGTTAAGATATTGTAGGGCTTAGGGTCAGTATAAATGCTTCCCGGAAGCCGCAGTGCACATCATAGTCGCCAAGCTGCAGCACCGAGATTCGAGGCACCAGCGGCGCAAATCGAAGGGTCGAGCTTTTGTTTTCTTCGGTTAGGGTTTAGGGTTTCGGGCGGGCCAGGCTTGTGCTACATTCTGGTCGCTTCGTGACTGCGAAAGTCAAGTTTATAATTGGTGTGTGTGTGTGTGTGTGTGTAAGTGTGTTGAATGGTGCAAATCTTCAAAGCCTACCAGCTTTAGCTGCAGCCACTCTGCAGCTTGGGGCCCAATTTCCGGAATCAAGCTTAAAGGGTTTAAGGTTAGAGGCTGTTAGGGTTTAGGGGTTATGGTTTAAGATTTGCGGTTTTGGGGTTTGGCAGACCCCAAGCTCGACACGAAGCCCGAACATCAACACCAAAACCCAGAAAGCAAAACTCAGACCCGGAAATCTCAACCTGAGGACTCCCAAGCCCGAAACCTCAAACCGACTATCTAGTTCCGATTCCTTTGCGAGCTAAAATTCCCAGAGCGCCTAAAGTGTCCCAAGGTTCAAGCTACAAAGGCTCGCTAATCAGAATAAGCCAAAGTTCCGTCCCAGATCCCGAACTTCACCGGTAAACTCTAAACCTTCAGCTCTAAGCCCGGCAAAACCCCCAACCTGCCGAACCCGAAGCCCAAACAGAAGCTTGCATGCAAACACACGGAGTGATGTATGTGCTTTGT